CCAACAGAAGAGGAGAAACTGGCTTGTCAAACAAGAAGTGGTCATCAATCAGCTGCTGCTGCTCTGCATCGGTCATGTTCCTCAGAGCATAGTACTTTCCCTTGAGATCACCGTCCAGACTACCCAGAGCTGAAAGAGAGAGGCACTTTCAGGATGGGACCAAAGGTGTTAAGACACTCCCAGCACTTTACAGACCACACACACAGTATGGCCATGTCTGATCTGCTGTGTTTGGTTCCTCCCTTGCTTTCATCTGCAACAGCAATGCCTTTGTGGCATTGCAGAACTTGAGGCAGTATCAGATGATGTGTCTGCACCTTCCAGGCTTATACAAGTAGCCTTCGTTCCCTTACATGCGGTATAGAATCCTTACTGCTGCAGAACTTACAAGTGGACTGCTTTCTTCCAAGGAGAACCAAGGTCATGAATATAACAAACAGTATTATTCTAGTCAAGGACTATTACCCTGCCCTTGAGAGGTTTTGGAACAACCACTCTCCCAGCCTCCAGAATATGCACCTTGAGACTATCATCATTCTTTTACCTAATGGCATTGGAAGGTAACAGAAACAACTTCCAGCTGAGGAGTTTCACTGAAAACTAAGACTTACTCTACTCAGCTGCAGATTTGCAGCAAGACTACACCTCTAAACAAGCTGAGCATTAATGAAAGTAAATTAAAAGCAGCCACAGAATACTGCACACCCATGAGTCAAGCCCTGTAGTTGCCACATACCTGTTACATTTCAGGTTTGAGCCCTGACAAACCAACTTCTTTCACCACACACACAGACAGAAGCTTTTGAGATCAGCAAAGGTCAACTTAACGCAGCCCAACTTCCCTCTGACACGTGCTCTTGCTCTCAGCTACACACTGCAACACTGAGGCAATGCTAATGCAATGAGCCTTTTCCAGGGAAGGCTTCATGTTCAGACCAAGTCTCCCGGGAGGTGGCTTTTGCCAACTGCCTCCATTTTCAAACTGCAAAGAACAGCTCTTGCACAAAGGACAGACATATTTCCCTGACGCACCCAGTTCTCACTTACCTTCAACAGAGAGCTTCTCAATAGCCCGCCTCTCTCCTCGACTACAGTGCGGGGGAAGACAGAATCCACGGATGCTTCTCCCAGTTCTGACACGGGAACTTAGCACATAATTGGGATCCAGGTCATCACCTCCCTATAAATTGGGAAATCAGTGAGTACAACCCTGTTACCAAGATACCTCCCCTAAATACACGTAGCTTCCATACATTTGAACGTGCACCTTACACTTGAGGTATTGACACCTTGGTCTGTAAGACTGTGTCTTACTGCAGGACTATTTCCTTCAGCATTAGGTCAAGTATGTGTGACACAATCCTTGTTTAGAGGCCAAGGGTACAGCTACTAAGTAGTCCTAAAAGACAGGGATACCACCAGACCATCAGTTTTATGTCCATTTCAGACTACAATCTGGGCTTCTGTTACCCCTTCAGATCTGCAATCTAGAAGTATCAACATGAGGCAGAACCTTCTTTAGGTAGGTGTTTACTTTTGCAAACAAAACTTATTCATTACCGTTCTCCAAACTTTCTTATTTTCAGTATGACCTACAGCAAGCCCATCAACATGTCATCAGGAACTCCTAGAGCTTACAGTAATAACATTTGAAATCCATAAACCAGGCAGAAATCCTTACTCCTAGCCATAATATCTATTCTATAGTATGACACCATCAGCTGATATTTAAGATCCAAGATCAGATAGCAGGAAGTGTTTAATTTTTATGACAGGCCATGACTCCTAGGACAGTGTTGTTTAGGCTTGACTACTACAGCCCACGGTTCATGGAAATACATAAAGGTGTTTGGCACAACCTGTGCCACAGCAGCACCTGAGGCAAGCTCCTGCTGCATGCCAGCTGCCTGGTTCTACCCAGCCACTGATATCCTACAGCAGCAAACTCTTCAGTCTGACTGCATCAGACTCATAGCCCATGTGTCTGTGCTCCGTGGAAGTGAGGAGACAGAGCCTGAACAATCAGTTTGGGCAGCTGCCAACAACTTTACAGTCTTCGGACCAGTAACCTGTAATCGATCAGAAGTTTATACCTGCAGGTTATCAGCATTCAGGTCGGTCTTGTGCTGATCGCTTGGTTTGTAGCCACCATGCCTGTCTTCAATAACTGGATCAAAGAGCTCCTTAAACACGTCATAGGATTCTTCATCACCAGCCACACATCCTACTGTCATTATGAAGGGATGGCCTGAAGTGGTAATAAAGTCAGAAGAGCTAAGTTTGGGTGACGTTTGGCTGTACTCCAGCGCAGCACTAACCAGGCAAGTTCTTTAGTGGCAAGTCTAGTCACTTAGAAATTCATTCTTACATAAAAACATTTGGAGAGACCCTACATTTTGCACTTCATCCAGTTAATCAAATGCAGTGCTATGGAAACCCATAGCTGTTGTCATTAAACCATGCTCCTTTGTCAAGCTTGGTTTAGGACAAATTTGCACAGCACATCTAATTTTACTAACTAATTTAGATCACTGGATAGAAGTTATGTCTAAACAATCATGCTTTGCTGTAAGCAAGCATGCTTCGCTTTTTTGCTCCTTCTGCTACAGAGCTACATTTCTGTAGTCTGCTCATAAATACCACCTCCACAAGATTAGTTTTAAGTCACCATATTCAAAAGCACCAGTTACTTCAGCTGGTTCACACGGAATATTCTCAACGCGTTTTACCAGGATTATCAACCCCAGTCTGAATGACATCATCCAGGGTGAAGCCACTGGGCGTGACTCTGTCTCTCAGTTTCGTGTATAAATCCAGGGTTAGAACTTTGGCCATGTGGTTGTTGTGGGTGCTCAGGTCCGGGTACTCCTCATCAGGAGGCAGTCTCTGATTATTTAGTTGGGCCATTTTGATATTGCTAGAGTAAAAATAAATACTGTAATGTTAACATGTAAACACATCTGCTCCCCCTTTTTCATAGAAGTGCTAGAGAACATCACATAACCAGTTTGGAATAAGAACAGACCAGGACAGCCAGGTAAGTCAACATTTCCCCCCCCCCTCCCTCCCTGGTTGCATTATAATTAGGATGTATTTGGTTTGAGGTTTTTGGTGTTGTTTTTTTTTTTCCCTTCAGATTTAAAGTATTTAGCAGAGTAGTTACATAATTGAAGTGTCTGGGAATTGATATGTCAGATCACAGCATGGAACATGGCTTGAAGGAGCACAGCCTCTTAATAAGGCCATGCCTTTAGCACAGTCTCTCAATGCTTTGCAAGATTTGCCCCTCAGTAGCTCAAGAGTTTTGGGTGCCGTTGTCAAGAAGCACTTCCAGTCAGGAGGGAGAACAGATCATTATGCAGATCTAACGGTCCCATTACCTGGGTTGTCAACCCCAGTCTGGATGCAATCATCCAGGGTAAATCCACTGGGGGTCTGTTTATCTCTCAATTTCTTGTACAGGTCCGGGGTCAGCACCTTGGCCATGTGATTGTTGTGAGCTTTCAGGTCAGGGTACTCATCCTCAGGTTTGTACTTCATCTTCAGGAGGTTGTGGCTGTTTGAGAAGGGCATGGCTGACCCTACCGTAGTCACTAAGGGAGAAAGAGGGGAAGCCTATCACAGGGGGCTTGGTAGCCTCCGAACCGCCCGGGGGAACGCCAGGCACCCAGGCAAGGTCACCTTGGCTCGTGTTCCACCCGCGCCTTTCACACCTTTGCTGCTACACCGCTTTCCACAAGCGCCAGGAAGGAGGAAAAAAACAGAAGTTCTTCACCTCCACCAGCCTGGCCGCAGGGGCAGGGGCTCTCCCGCCTCCCGGGTAAGGGGACGCCCCCAAGGTCGCCGGGAGCGGCCGCGGCAGCGCCGGGCAGACCCCGCGAGTGGCTGCGGGGCGGGGGGAGCGGCCGGGCGGCCGCGGGGCAGGGGTGGCTCGGCCCCGCCGGGACCCCGGTCCAGCGGCAGGTGAGCGGGGCGGCTCCGCTGCGCCCTCGGAGCGCGGCCGCGCCTCCTCCCAGCGCTGCCGGACCACAAGGTCCTGAGCAGCGGCAGCGCCCGCCGAGCAACGGCTGCTCCCCGGCCAGGGAGCGGAGGGGCGGGCGGCATCCGACAAGCCCTTACACAACAGACGGCTCCCTCGGGGGACCTGGACGGGGCGAGCATATGTAACTACCCTGCTAAATACCAGGTTAATCTGGTTTTAAAGCGGGGCCAACCCAGTGAGCACCTGCGTCGCGCCCCGCGCCCCGGCTGCGCCCCTGCCCCGCGCCGTCCCCCGCTCCCCTCCTCAGCCGGACCGGCTCCACCCCACATAGCAGGGGAAAAAAAAAGACAAAAAAAAAAAAGGGAAAAAAAAAGAAAAAAAAAAAAGGAAAAATACAAAAAAATCGAAATCCCTTGTCTTAAGGCTGCATAGCGGCTGCCCCGGTACTTACCGAGGGCTCCGCAGCTATAGCAAGGATGTCCGCGCTGCTCCGCGCCCCGTAACGCCCGAGCCGGAGTGGAGCCCCGATCCTGCCGTTGCGTCCCTTTTATATAGAGCGCTAACCGCCGCCCCATTGGCCGTTATTTATAGCCCATTCATTCCATTGGGTCGCGCGCCGGAGGGCGGGGCCAACGCTCCGCTGCCGGCCGGTCCCGCGCCTGCCGCCATTTTGCTCGGCGTTGGGGAGGCCGCGCGGGGGCGGGGGGACCCCCTGGGGCCGCTCCGGCAGAGCCGAGGGAGCCGCGGCGCCTCCGCTGAGCGCTGATGTGTGGGCAGAATTCCATCTCTCTGCGCCATCGTGCACCAACAATGGCCCGTTGCCATGAATATTGGCTCTTCACACCTCGGTCGAGGATTCAGCCGCGGGTGTGATAACGTGCCATCCCAAAACTGAGGGTTATGTAATGTCAGCACTGGCCGTAACTGTCAGTAACTGCCCCTGAGGCGGGTGCGGATCTGGCGCCCAGCCCCCGGCAGCCCGGCTCTGCTGAGGGAGGACCTGCACCTCGCCTCCAGCACCTGCGAAGCCGTGGGCTCGTTTTACAGCTTAAAGTGAAAGGAAGTAGGGTGGTTGTGTAAAGCACAGCGAATCCTCTGCTTGTCATGTGCCAAAAAAAAAAGAAGTCTTAAGCTTTTATTGGAGAGTGGGTGATTTCCTGCTAAAGATGGGCACGGGAGCTCTGGGATCTGACCCATCTAAAGCTCACCTGAAATTCGCAAAAACAGTGACTTCCACTGGTCCCTTTGTGAGCTGGTTTGTCCCAAAGCCAAGATGCAGCTGAGAATCCTGATGTTTGCAGAAATAAATATATTAACAATGTGAACGACTGGCTTGATCTGACTTTCACCTTTACATAATAGTATCTTTATCTTTCTCTGATGTGTGTTTCTCACAGCAGAACCCATGTTTATTATCCTCCTGTCCAAACAGAGTGTACTTATCCACGTGAATGCGGACCTGAGTTCCACAGTTGCCTTCCTTGACACAAGATGTGAATGTCAGGAGACATCACCTAAAACTCTTTTCCCTACCACAATCCTTTCAGCACCACAACCAGTACCCTCACCCTAACAACAAGAAGTGAGGGCACTTTACAGAACTGCTTAGGATTTAAAAATAATAATGTACATATAGAAAAAATCATTGCAAAATAAAAAGCCTAGACTGCCTGAAATAAAAATATACTGTGTTTGGCTGCCATCCAGATTTCCGAGTTATTCCAGGTCTGGTAGACTGAGATGCTGAATATACAGATCTCCAGGAGAAGCCAAGGGCTCAGCATCTGTACAAGTCCGGCCTCTTATCTTCCGGATCAAAGAACAAATCCTCTCTCTAGGACTGCTCTGCACTTTTAACCTCACAGAATCTTCCCCTACATATTACTAGTTTCACACAACGCTCACACTTCAGAATAGTGTAAATTGCAAGTAATGTCATGGCTAAACAAGTATTAAATGAATGTAAGCGCAAAACTGTACCCAGAGTCCTCAATAAATTAAAATATAAATATAGTACTGCTGGATTACCTCAGCTGCAAACATAATTCTGATTGTGGATTTTTCTAACGTAAAACACATAGTTTTAATATTTTATTTGAAATAGAAATAAAACTAAAACCATTTTCTTAAGTTATACCATATTTTTGTGGTGGTGTTCTTCACAAAAAGAAAAAAAAAATCATATGAGGGTAGGTTCTGAAGGCTCCTTTCACCTTATTCCATAATCTATTGCCACACAAACAAAGAAGCAATCAACTGTTCTGTAATGTAATTGTTCAGTAGATTTGTGGAGTCAAGGTCACCAAGATCTAAAATCCAAGGATCTACTTCTGTTCATTGGATATGCTCTTTCCCTCCCAGTCTTGCAGAACAGGGAACACCAGTCATTATAATCAGGTAGTAGATCTCAGTGTGCCATACATTACAGCATTTCCAACACAAACAGACACCTGTTTTTCACAGAACTTTGGTCTGAAAAGCAGATATGGAAAGAGAGTCATGGGTGCAAAAAGACTAAAATATGTTCAATTTATATGTTTAATAAACAGTGCACTCTCTACCCCTTTTCCCTCACCACTACTTGACAAACTTCTAGTGTGCAGTAAGTCAGAAGTGGCTGGGTTTTACTCAGACAGCATTTTAAGATCTGCCGAAAACTGTGTGTAAACTGGATCCTACCTTTGTCACAACATCCCATGCCAGCTTCCCTGGTGACTTAATTACAGATGCTGTGCCTTGTGTCAACAGCCTCTGATCACCCGCTCTATCTGCCTCATCTGCTGGGAAACACTTGCTTTGGATAAGCCTGTATGGCCTGTTAGACTGTGATAAAGGCGCCAATACTCACTTTCCATGCTGGGATGGTATCTTAGCGAATACTGACTTATACATGTTGAGTTCTGCAGCTCAGGATGGAAAGGTGGGGTGATTACTCCAGAGATCTCTGCACTGAGCTTTAACAATGAAGAATTAAGGGAAGTTAATCATGGACCATGCAGCTAACTTCCTAAGAGGCTTAATTATAAATGTTGTGCAGTGTACAACTGCAAGAGAGGATGGGTGCTGGCTAGTGAATGTGTCTTCTGAAATTACTTGCGTGAATGTAAGATGAAGCTGAAGATTTAGGAGATAAACATTTTCTTAAAAACGTAGAAGAATATTCCGAATTAGGAAACAGCAAGAGAAAGTAGTTTGCTATAAACAACTGAATTGTCTCCAGTTCCTAATTGACAACTAAACAGCACTTGAAAATTAAACATAACACTCATGTAATAGTAAATTAAAGAAATTGGTTATAGTTGCATTTGCTTGTCAAGTGAAACTTCTCTTCCCATTTATATTTATCACTTAAAATGTATTTGCCTAGTTATTATCCTTGGTGTACTTTTTCTCACTTCTTAGGCAGTCTGTTGAAAATTACTGATAGTTTCCAGTGAGTTGAGGGTCTGTGGAAACTAGGAGTTGCTAAGTACCTCAATCTTGCACACAGTCAGGCCCACAGTGATCTGAACATCAGCTCATCACGGGAAAGAAAGGACATGAGAACATAAACAATGACAAATATAGCCAATGACACTAAAAATGTCAGAAAATTAAACAAAGTGGGTGCAAATATAAAGGCAAAGTAGAGCCATGATTGCCAGTCAGAAAAACAGCTGAGTAGGAGTTTGCAGTTTAAGAAACCTCTGAAACTGCATACATTATGTTTAGATTAGATGGAGGAGAGTTTCATAACTAACAAAGACTACTGCAATTATGCTATGGGTAGGTCAACACCATAACAAAAAATATGTTCTCACTGAAGGTAATGGGAAAAAAATCCCTTTTACTTGATGGAACCACAAAAAAGTCACAGCTCATCATCTAAACAGATCTCCGTTACTGTGGTCATGATTGTTAAAGGATGACTTTCTCCATTATTGTGTATTACAGGTTACTGGTGAACGCAGCACAGTACAGAGCATTATCTGATTTAACTGGGAACACTACCTGCACGTCCAGGGTGATTCACACGCTCTCTGCTATGCCCATACCCCTCCCATGCCAGGTGGCCTGGGCTTGTTGTGAGCAGAAGATGAGGCAATACTCTCCTCCTTTGCTTCTCCTTGCCTCCTGATTACATCCCCCGTACCACCAGGGCACACAGGGCTCTCCACATCACTTCAATCCTAAACATGAGACACAAGTAGGAGTTAGTACCATGCTGTTAGGGGGTTAGATAACGATTCTGCTGCTTCTGAGCCCACATTGTGGTTTCTCCTGCAGCCTTATGAAACCCCTGTGAGGAGCTCGGTTGGCCTTGAGCTGCCTTTCCCCGAGTAGGCTGCCCTGGGGGAGGGCAGGTGGAACTTTCTGGAAGCTCCGTTCCCCAAGCACTGGAGGCGAGGCTTGGGTCTGCCGATGGCAAAGGCAGAGCCATTCCCTGGGGAAGGGGCTTCAGCCCTCCTGGTGGTGGTCCTCAAGATTCCTCACACATTGGATGGGTGAGGAACGCAAGTTCCCATTGGGGCCACCAGTTCCCATCATGGCTTTCAACAGTGACCCACTGGGACCCCTCAAGTTTCACAGAGAGGGCAGCTGCCCAAGGCAGGAGCACCTCGGCCAGCTCATCGAGAGGTGCCTGGGGGGCTGCTGAGGGCAGTCAGTGGCTGTCCCCCCTCCTCAGGGTCCCAGCAAGGAGCACTGAGGGGACGGGCGCCTCGATGGGACTGTGGGCATGGTGGGCTGAGGGGGACAGGCGGCTCAAAGGGGCTGAGAGGTACAGGCGCCTCGATGGGACTGAGGGGATGGCGGGCTGAGGGGAACGGGCGGCGAGAACAGGGTCTGACCGCACCGGGCACTGGCGGCGGCCACTCCCCGGCTCCAGGCAGGGCTGGCGGGGGCGGAGGCGGCGGGAGCGTCAGCAGCCTGCGACTGGGGCGGAAGGAGGCGCTGGGCGGGCTCCACGTGTGAGGAGAGCCGAGCCGGGCCGGGCCGGGCCGGGCCTGGGGAGGTAACAGCTCGGGATGCGGGGACAGCCGGCGGCTGCCTGGGGACACGGGCGCTGGGGCGAGGGCGGTCCCGCCCCCCGCGGAGCCGTCACGGGTTAACGCTGCTCTGCCGCAGGCTAATCCCGCCTCTGACCCCTTCCCTGCCCGGTCCCTGCTTCTCACCCCCCTCCCGCAGCAAATACCGCGTTAAATCCTTCGGGCCCGGAACAGCCGTGAGGTTCCCGGGTCCGCTGGGACGGGCTGATGCGCTGCCGGGGCGCGGGAGGGGGCCGAGGGGGGCTCTGGCACCGGGGTCACCTGTCGGAGCGCGGGCAGAGAGCGATTCACCAGCCCGGGGGGGGCGAGAGGGCTGTGCTTGCCTCCTCCTCCTCTTCGGGAGCTTCCCGTGCCCCCATGCCAGGCTGCAGGAGGGGGAAGAGGCAGCCTGCCAGGTTCTTGTGGCAGCTGGTCGGGGGAGAGAGAGGTATACCTGGGCTGTGGTTGAAGGGAGCACAGAGTTATGTCAGTGGTTTAATTTGTGAGGCTGCGAGGGATCGCCTGGGTCGTTGGGTTTAGGTCGCTGCAGCCATGGCAAGGCCGCGGAAAAGTCCTGATCCCGTGGCAGGAGGCCCTGCCTCACCTCCTTGCCACTGCCATTCCCACCACTGCCATGCCCCTGCTCCCATTCCCCCATTGCCATTCCCCCCGCACACTGCCATTGCCCCCCACTTGGCAGCACCCTGTGGCAGCAGCGATGCTCCTCCAACCCCCTGCGTGCTGCCCAGAGGAGAAGTGTAACACAGTGCAGGAGCCTCTGCACTGGGAGGGAATGGAAAATATTTCAAGTGTTTGTAGCTCAACTCTGTTCCTTGCAATAGGGGGAGGGGAGGCAAAGAATTTTCCAAAACTTGTCACAGACACCAATTTTACCCCAAGTGGATGAATATAATGTGCCAGTTAGAGGTCTGAGCCTGAGAGATGAGTCACTTGGGATGTCAGTGTGCACTGACATGGACTGGACTTTCTGGACTTGATGGTCTTGAAGGTCTCTTCCAACCTTGATGATTCTGTGATTCACTCCTGTGACAATTAGCTGTGTTAAGCGTAGTGGCTCAAAGGAAGGCAAAGAAACTGGGAGCCAGTTTGTGTGATCAAAGGGAGATCTCTCTGTGTCCCTGCAGACATGCTGCAGGAATGTTGCTTTTGCAAATGGGTGTAGTTGCAGTAAATACTGTGAAAGAAATGGACTACAGTGGAGATCCTTTCAAATGGCACTGTTCTGAGAGCTGAAAACTGCACTGCTTTAATAGTATCTCCAATGAGAACTATAGGTACCATTTATGAGCGATTAAGACATGAATGTAATCAGAAGGTGCAAGCTATAAAACACAGCATTTGTGCTATCTCACAACATCCTGTATGTATACATTTCTGAATTCATTCTTACTATTTCACCATATGTCCAGACAGGCCTGTTCTGCTTTGGCATCTGAACACCTCACGCAATAATCATGTAATGAGCTTTGGAAGTTTTGCCCACAAGCACATCTGTTTATCAGCGTCAGTGACTGAAATTATAAATGTAGCTGCTTAGCAGCAAACTGAGCTACGTGGAGTTCTGGTCAACAAAACCAGACTACAGTTCTAGAACTGAAAGTTTTTAATTAAAACGATGAAGCAGGACCAAGCTGCTACACATTCAATACAAAAGTGCTGAAACCAAATCATTACTCTGAAACTAAAAGTTATGCTGCTTTTGATTATGTTGTGGAAGAAGTAGCGGAAATTTGACTTTCAAAGCCTTCTGTCAAAGGCTTTAATTTCTTACTTTGGGATCACCATTGCTTCCTTAAAAAATTCATTCCACAAACTGATCAACCTGCAGCTTAGATATTTAGCTGCCTTATCTGAAAGGCAATACCAGGTTTCATTGTAAGTTGCCTTCTGATTTCTAGATTGTCTACTCAAAGCCAACAAAAGTTAATTGTAATTCTCTAAACAGCTCCAAGACCATGGGGCTGAAGTGATAAAACTGTTTGCATTAGTTTGCAAATGGTTGTTTACATTTAGCTGCAGCCCAGATTGCTTCCCAGACAATTACTTTGCACCCCCAATGGCAAATTAAAGACCACAGTATTCTTTTTTCCCATGTAGTTAGTAAAATTTATGCATAAATTAATGCAGATACTGCGTTTATCCAGTCTCTAAACCTCCAGTTGGAGAACTGTCAAGTAAACTTTAGTTAGTGGTCTTAATAACTAATGATTTATGTCAAGGCAAGTAGTAGTATGTCTTTACATTGTAAATCACCAAGAAATAAGCAAGAAAATGGGAATAAAAGTTACTGCTTAATAACATGCTCTGAGTGCTCATGAACTGGAATTGGACAAAGTACTGAAATTGGTACTAATTGCACTAATTGTACAAGTTTCTCAGTAGCATTTTGGAGCAGGCTGAGAAATTACAATATATTTCCCGATTTTTCTTTAAAATGTACTATAAACCAGGAAAAATACTGGTTATATTCAAATCTGTAGGTTTTTCCATTGATTTTAATTGGATCAAGAGTGCAGCGGGGGAGGGGGGGGGCGGGTCTCTGAACCTCCTGGAGTTCTCTTCCTAACGTCTTATTTGCACAGTGGGGTTTTGTTCTGTATTGGGGAAAATAAAATTATTTGGGTTTATGTCTGTACTTTCAGATCCTGCGAAACTCTCCTGACCTATTTAATCTTTTCTAGGTGTCAATCATCAACCAACAACTGTCACAATGAGTTTTATTGAATATGGAGATACCATAAAGGATGGTGACACAGCTATTGTGTTCTTGGGCCACGAATCCATGTTTCCTGTGAAAGTCCAGCATGGCACTGTAACACAGACTAAGTACGGGGTCATCAGGCACTCCACAGACCTCATAGGCAAGAAGTACGGCTCCAAAGTGACCTGCAGTAAGGGAGGATGGGTGTTCATTCTTCATCCAACTCCAGAACTGTGGACCATGAATCTCCCTCACAGGACACAGATTCTGTATTCCACTGACATCTCTATAATCACCATGATGTTAGAACTGAAGCCAGGCTCCATAGTATGTGAATCAGGTAATAATTACTATGTTGAAATCCTTTATTAAGAACTAACACCAACACTTCCATGAAAAAACTGGCTTTTCTTTATATTTTGCTGAAAGGTGAGCTTTTTCCCACTGTGATACAATTTTCTGAGCCTACACATTGAATAATTTTATTTCATGTGCACGTGTTACCAGCTGCTGTTTCTTCAACAACTGATGCTACCTCACTAAGCTGCCCTTGTGTATGGATATACCTCTGAGTGTGTGTTTGATTAATTCATCTGTTTAGAATAAGTATATACACATTTTCATTTCCCTTTTCTAAAACTGTTGTTAAGTACTTTAAAATGTTTTTAAATACATGATTTGAATTAAAAGTTGAGCTTTGAATTTGCAGTTTCAGAGAATATAGTTGAGATGGCCTCGTGGAAGAGATTCTGATGATAGGGTGTTGAACTAATAAGGGAAATAAAGTGGCAGTGTTTATATGAAGTGATACCATGTAAGTACATATATTTCGTTTTTCTCTTCCCAAGTATGATCTACTTGTAGCACCACAACTACATGCAAAATCACTGATATAATACAATGGATGATATGTTCCTCACAGGGATTTGTTTTGTTTCAAAACTTGGTTTAATTTATTACAGCTTTCGTGATTTTGCTTGATTTGGAAGTAAGGAGTGAAATTTTACATAAATATTTTCCTGATTACACTGAGTTTATAATAATGTCTTCGTAACTTTATTACTGCAGGCAGTATAAAGCTTGCTTGATTTGAGTGCATTTCTGGAGTTTGAAAAAATATGAAATGAGGTAGCTTGTCCTTGTTTTTTCTGGCTGTTTCCTTAGAGTGTTTTTATGAAGCAGTTTCATACACTTGCCTTTCAAGCACAGATATGGCAAAGGATCAGCATGACAGGAACTGTACTTTCTTGAATTTAACATTTCCTGTTCCCACTCAAACATAATTTTGGGCAACTTTTCAGGCATAAGGACCACTTATCTCTGCATCCAGTTGTACCCTGGTTAAGAACTAGTACATTGAGCTGGTTGCTGTACAGCAGCACTGGAAACAGGCAAAGCCATGTGCAGAAGCCTCTGATACTGTGAAAATGGTTGAGTCCTTTGAGTTTGTAATTTGGTTTGTAGAACAATCGGGCATTTTTAGGTTTGTCATGGGGAGTAGCTTCATCAGGGAGCTCTTCACCTCTTTCCCTCCCTGCTATGTTTAGGCAGGATGGGAAAAAACCCACAACAAATTAGTTGGGGGAGGGGGAGATGGAGATGTGAATTGTTCAATGTTCCTGCTCTCTTGGAATAGTCAAATGTACAAAGCAGCACTTAAAATGTTTTCAGTAATGTCAAAGGTGCCTAGAGAGAATGAAAATGTCAGATTACTTGTTTATCTAAAGAGCTAAGAAATGGAAACATTTGATGATTTCAAAAAATGTTACAAGTCAAAAATCATAGACACAAACAATTCTTTTTGCTAATGGGAAGCTGCCCCCAGGTTTATTTTAATGCCTGTGCTATCAATGTATTGCAACTTAAGCTGTCCAGGAAAAGTGAACAGTTTACTGCTGAAGTTGTGCTTGTCTTGCTTGAAAGGCTCACTGTTCACAAAGAAAAGAAGTACTGCATGAAATCTGTCTGGTTAACCTTGAAGCAAGAGATCTTACTGCAGATTTGCTTTGAATTACAAATTTTACAGGCATTGACAACTAGAGCCTCCAGCATGGTGATGTAATCTACTTTGGTGCCATCCCAAATTAGATGGTATTCAGTGGTCCAAAATCATTAGTTCTCAGTTAACCTCGTGTGTGCTACACAGAACCAGCCCAGTGGCCATGAGTAGAAACAAGACAGGAAGTCTGGTCTAGCAATGACACTTGAGTCTGCT